GAATTTGCCGTTTAAAATGCAGTAGTTGTAATGCATTAAGAATTGGTTTTAGCTGTTGAATTTACAAACTTAGCTGGCTTGGGCCCTGAAGAATTCAGAGTTTAGCACTACACATCCAGCAAAACTGTGTTCTTCCCTGCTAGAAGAGTTGCATTCATTAGTAGAAGGCTAGAGGTTGTATACTCATTCTTTTCTGGATTAAGAAGTTAGACAATCCTCCAAGAAATGAATGCTTCTTATAGTAAGTTTCACCAGCAGAAAGCCACTGGGTTAGCAGGGGAACAAGCTATTCCCTGGCTCTTAAATATTACCACGCCCTATGTTTTTCTGTCAATGGAGTCCCAGTTATGTAGAGCTACTGCCAAGAAATTTTTGTTATCAGGGGAGCAGAAAACATGCTTTTCCTTTTTCAGGGTATGCAATTGAAGATTTGTTTTGCAGCCCAGGTAGGCATAGCTGTGCTAATTTTGATCTAACTAGCATGATAAAAACAGCAGCATAAACATAGTGGCACCAACCTCCAATGAGCTATATGAGCCCTTCTAGGGACATAGTCACATTGCTAGCACATGCTGAAGTTCCTGCTGCCTCTGCATCTTTGTTGTTATTTTTAGTGCACTAGTTAGTTTAAAACTAGCAGTGCAGTTAAGTTACCTGTTCTGCAAATAGCATATTTTCAGATGCAATATATACATGCCTTCTGCTGCATTTACTTTTGCTCCTTACAATATATGTCGTGGGAGAGCATCATCCATTCAGTTTTTTTCTCTCTTTTGACTGACAAATACTTGTACTTGCATTTATGAGGTAAATGGAGAATACAAAAGTTGAATTTCAGAAATCTGAAGTCCCAAATACCTTGTTTCCAGTAAGCAAGAGGATACTCCCCCCCCATTAGATATAACTAGACATGATTGTAGAAAACAAAAATAATTTTTACAACTCAATATAAATAGAATATTTTTAAAGCTCACCAACATCACACGGATAGTACAAATCTTCTATCCCAATTACATGTACCTAAATTCAAATAGTAATTCTTTTTAGGATCAATCTATCTGGCAATGCAACATGTAACACTTAGTGGAAAAACTTCCCTTTTATCCAAAAAATCTTACTGACCCTTCAATAGAGGCATTGGTGAATGTGGTTCTTAGATAGCTGTAAAAATGTTATTTGGCTTACCAACAGAAAATAATTTAATGATAGTGCCATTTATTCTCTGTTCTTTTGCATATGATTTAGAAAAACAGTTTATAATAAAAATAATCTCCAACTTGAAACCATTTATAATCTTGAATGTAGATTATGTGTCCACCTTGGGGAAATTTGTGGCTTCTCGGTATGCAGATGGTCTGTTTCCTCAATATTTGAGAGCACAAGATGGCAGAGTATATAATGTAAGTGTGACTGACTTTGTTTCAATAGAGTAATAACATTCCCCTATTTAAAAGATAATGTCAGTGTAACACTGATTGATTGAAGTGTCTCCGCTGCTAAAGAAATGTTGCCAGGAAATTGATGTATTTCCAAAATGGGAACTTTATCTTTTGCTGATTTTTATTTCTGTTGCACCAAATGATTAATGATACAGAAGCTGGGTTGCTTTTCTGATGACTGGTGATACACTAGCCCATATGAAATGTGGAGTAAAGCTTTGAAGAATATCCTGAAATTTCTAAGTAATAGATTTACCCTATAATGAAAGGGAGAAAGCTTAAAAGGAATAGGACTAAACTGAGTGGTTACCAGTGAAACAAATGGAGGCACTCAGATGAAGAAACATATTGTGATGTCATAACTGATCATTTATTGCCAGCAGGAGGACACAAAGGACTTACACTAGTCTGTGAATATAGTTTGATGGAACTCTGCCCAGACTTGTGCTCTAAGGAGCATGTTAGTAGTAGCTGCTATCTGTCCCATTATTTGAAAAGATGGAGTGTGAAGAAATCTGTGCATCAGTGACTAAGAAAAAAATTAATTCATAAAAGTAAAGACTTAAAAAAATGAATAGCATATCATCCTCTGATATCCAGAATCCCTCCCCAGTTATCAAGCATCCAGAACATCTATCGAGTGTAAAGCTGGCAAAACATAAAATTTCTGTGTGTGTTAGTCCACCACCTTTTCTGTGACCAATTCAGTTTTTAACACCTAATCCTGTGTTAGACTGCTGTATGTTCCTGAGAAATGATTTTCAGGACTACTGGGGCATGCTCAGCTAGCATCAATACATAGTGTAAGGTAGGAACTAGACAATGGAGGTTTGCCTAATGACACTCTGAGAGAGAGCTCAACGTTTCTATTTCTGACAGAATTTTATTTTTAAAACTTCTAGTCTCCAAGCCTGCATGTTAGCTCTTGGAGAATCTCTGGGAGGTGGGGGGATAGCATGTAAATGAACTTACATAAATTAACATAGAGTTAAATTTAGTAACAATCTTAAATGAATCAATCTGTAGCACGGAATCTCTATGGATAATTATTCCATGCTTGAGTAACAAGTAGGAATATACTGCTGACTCCCTCCCCTTACCCTGTGACCAGGATGGAAATGTTGACTGTGGAATGCTCAGGGAGTTTAGAGAGCTACAAACACAGAAAACCCAGTAATAATAGGGTATTTCAACTATCTCCATGTTGACCAGGTACATGTCACCTCAGGATGAGATGCAGAGATGAGACTTTTAGACACCATTAAAGACTGCTTCTTGGAGCAGCTAGTCCTGTAATCCATAAGGGGAGTGACAATTCTTGATTTAGCGATGAGGAGTCCTGTGGCACCTTATAGACTAACTGAAGTGTAGGAGCATAAGCTTTCGTGGGCAAAGACCCACTTCGTCAGATGCATGTAGTGGAAATTTCCAGAGGCAGGAATAAATATGCAGGCCAGGATCAGGCTGGAGATGACCAGGTGGATCCAATCAAGGAGGATGAGGCCCACTTCTAGCAGCTGATCTGGAGGTGTGAATTCCAAGAGAATAGAAGCTGCTTTTGTAGTTAGCAAGCCATTCACAGTCTTTGTTTAATCCAGAGTTGATTGTGTCAAACTTAAAGATGAACTGTAGCTCAGCAGTTTCTCTTTGAAGTCTGGTCCTGAAGTTTTTTTGCTGCAGGATGGCTACTTTTAGATCTGCAATAGTGTGTCCAGGAAGATT